GAGAAGGATCTCGGGGTCATTATTAAAGACGCCCTAAGTCGTTCTTTAAACTGCTCCCGGACATCGTCTACCGCTGTAGGACATGTTGGTTTGCTAAAACGAGTATTTGGCAAATTGGAACCAATGCTGTAACCACGATTGTTATCAGCCTACATTCGACCCCACACAGAGTACGCAATTCAAGCATGGATCAACGCGATCAANTGCAAATGTACTCCACACAGTATCGCCGCATTCGAGGAGATCTGATCTTGGTATACCAAATAATGCAGAACCCAGACCACCCATGTCGTCCACTCCTTTCCTTGTCGCCCAACACTCACCTGAGGGTCACTCATTCAAATTAGCGCTCCAAAAATATCGACTAGAATGTTGGCGTCATTCATTCGCTATCAGACTGTTGTCCCTGCGCCCACAATTGATTCATTCAAGCACAAACTGGATGAAGCATTGAAAAGTCTTAAATTTCAACATCCGTAGAAGCGCACGAAAAAAGGACAGGTTGTGACATTCATCTACTTTGTATGAACTGTGAACCGATTCATCTGTGCCAAATCCAATGGGACTAGAAAAGCAACGGCTTGTAAGTATTTCCCATAATAAAACTTTGATTTTGACTAACTGAAAACATGAAAAGTAGACTAGAACTGCGCTAGCGATTTCATGTGTTCACTCCCGATTGATCGATTGAACAATCTGTACTGTTGCATCTTGTTTACAACAGTAACGCATCCTCTAATCGGGTTTGAGTCCAACAATTTCTCTCCCTCTTGCTTTTGCACGGTTGGGACTAAGGCACAAGCTTGTATTGGGAAGCGCTACCTTGACATTGGGTTCGTGGGTAATTACGTGTACAGATCACTACAATCGTTGAACTACTTTTATGGACTAAAAATCTAACACAGAGTGTGACTGGCCCGGCTCGACAGCCATTTATTCCAGCCAAAGTTCAGTTGCACTGGGCATGTTCAGCCCCCATGTGCACAAAGAATTATATAAATTCGCAAGAGTAACCGTAAGTGACCGTAAAAATTGACCCTTTTCATTACCAATACCGCTCCCCCTACATTGGCCTTACCTAACTCAACCTGTGGCCTTCCGCTACCGCGAGAGACGGGCAATAGACATGAACATAAAGGAATATTTGTTGTATTTTAACCACTTTGTGACTCAGTATGACTCAAATATCCAAAGAGAGCAAGAGAGAAAACCAAACGGGGGATGACGTATCGCAATGCATTATACAACACAGTGGAGCGAGAATACATGGATTGGATGGGGATCACAAACCCCGCAGAGCAGCATATTCCGTCCACGTGAGAAGTGGGCACTTAGTTAACTCCTTGATTACAGGAATCCACAAGTGCGGATCCAGATTTTCTGTCAACAGTTCATCGTCTTCTGGGTNGTTCCACGTGCCGATCCGGTTCGGACTCCAGATCGCCATCTTCACTGATGGCTTCAGTGGTGGCCGATGTAGAAGACGGTTGATCACTACAATGTCGTTTAGACTCACGGATTGAGAACTGTAGTCGATGAGCACGTCGAGTAGCGACAGAAATAATGCCCAAATAAGATCCAATATTCGTTCCATCTGAGGCCGATTTCGGATCACCCAGTGGTCGCAAGGCGTATTCATGTGTTAAGTCAGCCATCGGGCCATCGGTAGATTCGGTTGACGGTAGAGCGAGAGTTTTATTCACCTCAACCAGATGCCCGGGAAGACCACACCTCAATTTGTGTCTCACCCCACGGTTGCACACAGCGAATGCGAATATGTCGTTTGGAGAGGAAATAATTTGACTGCCACGTTTTCGACGGCCCTTAACCCGATAGGTCGACCGATCGACTCTTTGAGTTACCTAAAAGGCAACAAGAAGAGTTTATTGGAGGCGGAGAAACACAGACCAAAACAGAATATTCCTATTATTTTAACGGCAGTTGACATCGCGGAGGCGCACAATGTGACATGAGCCCTGACAAAATGAATGAGCGAGCGATTACCAAAACGAAGCCGATAACAAACTCGTGCAACATCAATCTCAGTTCGGAAATACATTTTGCTTCCCAACATCATACTTGCATATTGATGGCTACGGGTGAAGTGTATTTATTCTGGCCTTTATCTTCCATTTCTGTGTTTTTAGTTCTCTTCGATCACCGTTTTAATTTTCGCGACCTTGAATGTTGGGATAAAAGTTGTAGTACACCTCAGATGTGAAAGATGTTTTGGGCAAAGCATCACGGAAATTCATTTTTCTAATGAACGATTCCTGTTTCATGGGAGTGTTTAGTAAGTTGAGCACACGTACTCTAAATTGCTTATCTCTTTTCATTCAGTGCACAGTGAAACGGGTAAATTTAAGTAAGTATTCTAATTGAAATAAACTGATAAATTTGGCTACAAACTACTCACGGATAATCCATAATACCGAAGAAACTGAAAATATATTCCAAGAAACATAAAAGTTGACCTGGAGCTGTGCGGTTTATTGAACAAGCGTCTTACAGTGTCTCACCATATCCAAATTCAAATTCAAATTTTTATTATGGGATATAACTTACAAAGACTTCGCTTT